TGTCTCCTCTGTCATTTCTGATATTGGTAATTTGTGTCCTGTCTCTTCTTCCCCTTAACCTGGCTAAAGTCTTATCAGTTTAACTGTTTTCATAGGACCAGCTTTAGGTTTCATTCTCTCTCCCTCTCTCCTCCCCCTTCCTCCCCCCATGCCCCTCCCTTCTCTTTTGGCAGTACTGGAATTTGAACTCAGGGCCTCATGCTTGCTGGGCAGGAGTTCTATCACCCAAACCATGCCCCCAGCTCTTTTTTCAGAGTGTCTTGAATTTTCGCCTGGGATGGGTCGTGAACCATGATTCTCTAACCTATGCTTCTTTTGAACTGGGATTAGAGACATGTGCCACCACGCTGGCTTGTTAAGATGAGCTCACCAACTTTTTGTCTGGGCTGGCCTTGAACTGCAATCGTCCTGATCTCAACCTCCTGAGCAGGTGGGATTACTGGTGTGTCCCACCATGTTCATTGTTTCTCTCTGTTGATTTTGTTTTCCATTTCGTGATTCGTTTTTTTTTTTTAACTTCAGCCTACTCTGCGTTTTGCTAGTTTCTTAAAATAGATTAGATGATTGATTTTAGATCTTTTCCCCTTCCTAACACATGTATTCTATGCTATAAATTTCCCAAGCACTACTTTCTCCACATCCCTTAAATTTTGGTAAGTTGGGTTTCTGTCATGTAGCTTAAAATACTCTAAAACTATTTTTGAGATTATTTCTTTGACCCATTTGTTTGGAAGCACGTTGCAGAATCTCTATAATTTGAGGTTTCCCATTTATCTTTTTATTATTGATTTTTAGTTTAATTCCATTTTGGTCTGAAAGACAACGTGTGATTTCTGTTCTTTTAAATGTGTTAAGGTATGGTTTATGGCACAGAATATGACATATCCTTGGCGATTGTTCCATGTGAGCATGAGAATGCAATGCTTTTGTACCTTTGTAAAAAAAAAAACTTGTTTGTGCATGTGCACACACACACACACACACACACACACACACACATGAACTGGACTTTCCATGTGTTTCATTGACCTGTTTTTATACCAATGACATGCTGTTTTGAGTACTGTAGCTTTTTAATAATTTTTGGAATCAGGAAATCTTAGCTCTCTAACCTTGTTATTTCATAGATGTTTTTGTTATTCTAGGTCCTTTTAATTTTCATGTGAATTTTGGGATATCCATATCAATTTGCACAGAAATCTGGATTCTGACTGTATTGAATCTAGTATTAATGTGAGAAGGGACATATTAGAATTATCTTTGAACAAGATATACCACTCCATATTTAGTACTTACGTATTTAGCATTTCTCAATAATATTCTGTAGTTTTCAGTGGAGGTTTGTTTCTATTTTGTTAGATTTATCTCTTAACTATTTCATACTTTTGAAGCCATTGTAAATGATATCAAAAATATCAGTTATAATTGTTTATTGCTAGTGCACATACATAAAATTAGTTTTCATTTGTTGATCTAGTATCCCTGAAACCAGAAAACTTTTTCTCAAAAGGACTAGATAGTAAGTATTTTAGACTGTTGCAGCTACTCAGCTTTGCCACTGGAGTAAGAAAGCAGCATAGACAATATGTGAATGAATGTTTCAAAAGTTTATTTACAAAAATATGCAGTGAACTGGGTTTAGCTACAAGTTGGAATTTGCTGATCCCTGTTGTACCATGGCAGCCTTGTTAAACTCACTTGTTCTGGTACCTTAAAAAAAAAATCTGTTAAGGTGAAATTCACATAAGAAAGTCAACCGTTTAAAAATGGACAATTTAGAGGCATTTTGTTTATTCACAGTATTGTATACCTACCACCTCTGTCTGGTGCCTAAATATTTCCATCATTCTAAAGTAAAACTGTTAACCCATTTAGCAGTTTTTCTCCATTCTCTTCTTTCCCTGGGCTCTGGCAATCACAATCTACATTCTGTATCTATACTTATTTTTACATATATCATATAAATGGAATACTACTATATGTGTGACTTCTTTGCATCTGGCTTCTTTCACTAAACATGTTTTGGAGGTTCATCCATGTCGTAGCATGAATTGGTACTTTTTTAGAGTGGTACTATCCCATTGTTTATTTATACTTCTCTTTGTTTATACGTTTGTGCCTTTGATGGACATTGGATTATTTCCTTTGATGACTGTTAGTACTGCTATGAAGTATAGTACTGGTTTTTGTACATACCTTTTATTAGGTTGAGGAAGTTCCTTTATTTCTAATTTGCTGTTTTATTTATGTATTCTTAAAATTAGGAGTTGCTAAATTTTTGTCAAATGTTCTCTCTGTACCTATTTAATCACATTAGTTTCTCTTTTTTAGTTTTAGGATTTTTTTAAACTATCATTAATTATATTGATTGATTTTTAATGTTACTACAACCCTGTATTTCTGGAATAACTTTTTGGTAATTATTAATGTATTAATAATATTTGCTAAGATTTTGGAATTTTTTTGTGTGTGCTCATAAAGGATATTAGTCGTAGTTTTCTTGTAATTTTACTATCAGGGTATTAAGACCAAAAAATTCACCCACTTTAAGTGTAGAATTTAAGGATTTTTATTAAATTTACCAAGGTATCCAACCAACACTATAGCCAATTTTAGAACTTGTCTGTCATGTTTAAAAGTTCCCTCACATGCTCATTTGCATTTCAGCTCTGATGCCAATCTTAGCCATAGGCAACATTGATCTTCTTTCTGGCTTCATAAATTTTTCTGGACGTCCAAGTGAAATCATGTATGTGGTCCTGTGTGTCTGGATTCTTTTACTTAAGTTTCTGAGGTTTGTCCATATTAAAGCATGCATCAGTATTTCACTTCTTTTTCCGTCTGTATCTAATATACATTCGAGGCCACATCTTGTGTATCTGTTTTCACTTCATGGACTTCAGGGTTGCTTTCACTAGTATACTTCTGTGCATATTTGCATGCAAATTGTGTGATAAATGTTTTCTTTTGAGTAGATTCACAGGAGTGACATTGCTGAATCATTTGCTCTTCATTATGCACTCCTTGAGGGAGTTTTAGTAAAGCCTTAGTGGTCTTTCAATTGGGTCATCTACACCCATGTGTATAATGGGTATTGAAACTGATCAGAAGGTATTTGTGACACAGTCTCATATGAGCCTTTGCTTATTCTTTTTTTGCACATTGTCCTCCTTTCCTCCAACATCAAGTTTTTTCTTGATTCCTTGCAATCCTAGCAGACAACCCTAGTGGTTTTATATAGAGTCTTATTTCCAGCACAACCCCATATATATGTTCAGACAATATAAGACAAAGCCACATGAACAACAGAAAAATTTATTCCTATTTACATTGTATATATGTTATTACTCTATTTCTGATGTGGTCTAAATGAACTCCTTTGTTTTGAGATGTCTGTAACTAAGCAAAGTAAAATTGTTTCCCTTTTTGTCTCTTTTTAATAGGAAACGAGATGTCTGACAGAAGATTCTGTCAGCAAAAAGTATTATGATCTTATGCTGTTAAGAGTGCTTTTCTGTCAATTAGTAGAGATTAGTTGGAAGTCTAAAAATATTCACCTAGTGTAAAATGCCTCTGCTTTTCATCTTCTTTTCTATATCCAAAGTCTTGATAACCCTTACTGTATTTGTCAAATGAGGAAACATTTTGATTTGCATTACAGTGTTTATTTGTAAACAACTCTCTTCCTCATTTTCTGTGGCCTCTATGTTCCATAACCCTTGAAGAAGTATTTGTAGATTTTCTGTGGGCACTGGTGAGATATAGGCTTCTTGCTATATATTTGATAAGCCAAAGGGTGTTCTGTAATCTATGGGCAGCAACAGTTTTTCACCATCAACTTCCCCTAAGTCAAAACTGATGGTAGCAAAAGGGATTGATTTAGATGAGATCATATCAGAAAGCCAGGATCTCATGCTCAGCTTGGGCTCATTTCCTGTCTTCAGGAGCTTCGTATTAGTAAGTCCTCAGTAGTGGTCAGGAGCATGAACTTGAGCCAAACGCTTAGGTTTTGTTTTTTTTTTTTTTTAAGTTCTACTTAACTGTTTCCAAGTTTTGTGACTCTGGACAATTCTTAAGCTTTAATTTCCTCATATAAGTGAAATAAGGACAATAGCACTACTTTTTAGTAGCACTTTATTGGGCTGCTAAGATTAAATGAGAAAATATATTGAAACATGGTGCCTGGCACATACTAAGTGCTCAGCGAACATTGGTTGAATTTAAAAACAGAAAAACACCCATCCCCTGCGAGGCTCCTCAGTTAAGAAATGCTATTTGACACCTGGTAGCTAGATGATTTCTTATAGAGGTTTTCTATTCAAACTTGAATGGAGTTAGCAGCAATGAATCAGTTGCTTCTATTCTGAGCCTATTTTCTTTTCCACAAAATTAAGTTACAGCTTTCTCATAATTTGTTTTCATTTAACCATTGGGTGAAGGTTAATTGGGATAATGTATGTGAAGGCATTCCACAAAACATTAGGTTAATAACTTGGAAGTGAGTGGCACAGCAATAATGAGTACCCATACTGGTGCAATATCACTGCATTGTCCCTCACGACACAGCGAAAGATTTGTTATGTACTTTTCCAAACACATACTCTAAAGTGTCTGAGGGTAGCAAGGGTGTTTTTCTAATTAATGCTGTGTCTTCAATATTTAACATACAGTAGTACATACCAAATACTTGGTGCATATATGATGGATAAGGCAAATTTTGTTTTAAAATCATACCACTTTTTTTCTTACTTTATAGTGGTCTCTTGTGAAAATTATTCATAGGAGTTTGTTAGGTCATCTAATTCATAGATAGGACCTGAATACAATGTATTTTAAATACTGAATAGACTGTAAGGAACAGCTGATTTACTTTTCCTACATTTTCTATATTGTGCAGCATTGCTACATTTAGTGTTTATTCTTTTTTTTACAAAGAGTGGATTTTAAACCATGCTAAGTTTTCACTAGATAATATGTATATAAAAATGTCATCTTTCATGACTTTTTTTTTGGGCAGTTCTGAGGTTGGACTTCAGGGCCTCACCTTGGTAGGCAGATATTCTACCACCTGGGCCATGCCCCCAGCCCTTTTTGCTTTTTCAGGTAGAGTCTCACATTTTTGCTGTGCCATGTAGCTGGGGTCACAGGTGTGTTTATTGTTTGATTTGGGGTCTCTTACTAAGTTTTTACCTAGGCTGGCCTCAAACTGTGACCTTCCCAATCTCTGCTTCTGGACTAGTAGTAGGGAGTACAGATGTGAACGAATGCACTCAGCTCATAAAATTGTTACATTTGAAGCAGCTTCATTTCTTCCCTGCCCTTAGTACCCTGTGCAGCAATGGCACACAACCATGTGAGGTGTGGATGTGATGATCTGTGGGTCGCTGTTACCAGGGCTTGGCTCATTTTGAGTTTGTTGAGCTATTAGCACACATACATTGCACATTGACATCTAAATATCTACTTTAGCATCTTAAGGTGCCTAAAGTGGTAAGTCTGCCTTGAGTAGAACAGGAGGAAAACAGGAAAATAATAACTTCACTAGTTCTACAAAAGCATGTTGGGAGTCACATAATGAAAAAAGCAGATACTTTTATTTTACAATGATGTTCCCCCATATTTGGCGTTGCTGTAAATGGCTAACTAACATTTACTGCCAATTCAGTACAAATGTGAGGTTTGGTAATACCAGAACAGCAAATTTAAATGAAAAATAAAAGTTAAACATTTCCACACAAGATTTTACAGTCTGACATTTCACTGCGTAGGTAAAAAGACATTTTTTAAACTACAGATTATTCGGCATGAATAAAAAACTACAACTTTTATTTTTAAACAGGAGTCACTGGTTTTAATTTTTACACATTTAAAAATTACTGTGATAAAAAATAATGAAAAAAGCTTCTTAATAATGCCATACACAGTATAATATAGATTTGTCCCCATTATATAGCATTTGTTTAATATACAAAATAGAATATTGACACACTTGAATCTATATGTAGTTAAGCAAGTTATTTGAGGAGGGTATTTTCATATAGTCTTTTATCAGAAAATAAAATCCTTTCATACATTTTCTAGAGAGAAGCTCTCCTTTCCTGAAAACCTGGTCACTTATTTGGTGGACCAGGTTGATTGAAAATAGTCTGGAAAATGATGAAACTTTTGTTTAAAGTGTCTTTCACACACTTATTTTCTCTTCCTGCTCTGAAACCAGGCACATAAAAACACATTCAACTATACCACGGTTGTTGGGGGTGACCAACTGAGATCAAAATCTCACTGAAGGCTACCACGATTTTTTAATTTTGACAGATCAAATTATAATAATGTTCATTCCATAGTGACATAGTTTTAGGGGATTTAAAAGAGAACTAAAATGATAAGACTTGAGTGAAATTGGATTGTTTCTCTTCTCTCTCATCTTCTGCCTATATTACTCCCAAATTCTTAAGTGAAGCTGGCTTTCCCTTCACATGCTTGCCCAGAGCTCATCCTGTGCTCTCTATGAAGTTCTTCATTGACACTAATCACATTAGATTTCCTTCTGGCGTGGCAAAGGTTTTTTTTTCCTTCTCCCAAGAGAAGGCAGTTGCTCCTTCAGGTTCCTTTCCTATAGTTTTAAGCAGTCAATTCCCAAACTGTCAAGTCCTTAGCTCCTCATTTCTGCTTGTACAGTACCCAGAGCAATGCCTAAAAACACTGAATCACTTTTTTCTACCAGTAATTAAAAATACTTTTCAGGATCTCTTTGAATCCACATAGGCATGTCACTGGTTCTTACTGAAGTTATTATAATAGTTTGGGATGACAAGAAACCACACACATAGAAAATGAAGTTGATTTCAAACAGTAATGTATCTTTTCCTTTTCTTCACTTAAAATCTGTAATTATACTCAAACATAATTATGGTAACTTTCTTCCTTCCTACATGTTCTAAAAGAGCACAGTTTCTTTTAGTGAAAAGCCTCCTATAGTTTTATGTCAGTTGCCTCCTTGTTGACAACAAAGTGTACACCCAACCCCCCCTGCCCCCATTTTTAAACTGAGCTCTACTTTTGAGAACCAAGGTTGCTGGGACTGAAATAAGAATAATATGTGATGCACTTTTTGGTTTTAACCATGTAACATTATATAAATGAACAATAATCTACTTTTGAGAAGCTCTTTTTGAAACTTAACACTGTCACTGATAATATTCAAGTGTTATTTCTTAGGCACCATAAATTTCACATCCAGCTGGGTTACAACCATCTTAAAGATCAATTTAAACCATTACAAAAGGAACATTCCCTTTTAAAGAGCATTCAAAAAGCAAATGATTACATTTTTTATTAAATAATTTCCACAAAATACTGAAAACAACATTCAAAGAGCATTCAAAGAAAACATAAACATGTCCTCATTTTACTTGGAAATGAAATCTTGTAAGATAGAAAGGAATTAGTGTATTATTGGCACCCTATGGGATTCTGCACTATTTACATATTGCTGTACCTCTATGCATATTATTGCCAAACTTCTAAAGCCTCTGTTTTTGTTAACCTGTTTGAGAGGCTGCATGTGCAAGTAACCCTGCTATTAGATGGTGCCTGTAACTATATGAGCAATACCATTCTGTCCTGTTTATACACTCTATTGCAAGGGGAGATTTAATAAATCAAACCTGCGTTTACAGACTCACTGCTGGAATGAGAAGCATGGTCAGAATGGGAGGCAGAGGATTACTTTTATCTGTGGTTTAACTGGGACACAGCCTCACTGCACACAAGGCCAGTCTCCATCTCCCTCTTCTAGAGCAAAACCTGTTTGGTTTCTGACACCTTAATGCCAGTATGAATGCTTTGAGCACACTATAAGTCATACAGGGTGTATCCATCAAGATTTCTTTGACCTCTACAAAAAATATATAACATGTCGTGATAAAACAATCTCATCTAAAAATCATTCTTATTTTACACTATACAAGCTATTTTACAATCATTTTAATAAATTGCATGTAAAGCTGCAGTAGCCCTTCCCTTCCCAGATTAGTGAATACCAATATGATATATATCTGAAACTATAACTAAATATAAAAATATATTAGAAGTTTCATTATTTTTAATATTAGATTTTCAGTTTTCTATTACACAGATAATTTGGCCACTTTGAACAGAAATCAGATTTCTTGTGGCTTAGTAACTATGTTAAGTTTTGAGTTTACAGAAAGTTGTTAAGGTGCACACAGAAAGGGCTACTACAGCTTCTGTTTTGTTTAAAATTATACTTTTCAACAGTGAATAAATTCACAAGACTTGTGTTAAATCTTATGGCACACGGAGGGATGTGTAGTTCTACAAACATGGATGTTTGACATTCAGTTCTAAATCACAAAAATCAGTAGCTGAGCTTTCCTGTTCTATCAGGAAAGATAGACCAATTGATGACAGATGGGAATGTGAAAATGGGTGTCTAGCCACTTTTTGCCATATTAGAGATTTAGTTTTTGGGTAGAGTTTAGTGAGAGGAATTACTTGGTCTGATTAAAAATCTCTCAGCTGTGTTACAGCTGGTTATCTGGAACTATAACTTTTAAGAAGTTATGCAAACTACTACAAAAGGTCCCAAAAGACAGTTTACCAACTTTCTTGCCATCTAACCACTGCAGAGATAGGGTACCAGGTACAAACAGGGCCTCTTGGTAGTTATTTTTTTTTTAATAGTTATCTTTTACAACCATTATCCATAATTTACCCAGCAGGGTCACTGGACTAGGTGCTCTATACCAGTCAGGATGGTTAATTTGCACAACCTATATCATTCTTCATGGAAGCAGATATATACAAAAGAAGAGCTTTTTTTGACAATACTGGAGATCTGAGTCAAATTTTGTGGTCTTCTGATAGCTAAGTGCCATCAGGTTAGAAGCACCAACCCATTTTCACACAGAAGATTAATGTTTAGAGTTTATTTAGGAAAGCTATGAACTAGCTGCCCATCTTAAACAGCTATACAATAACTCGAATACAAAAATTATGTAAGAAAAATGAGCAAGCGTAGTTCACTGAATATAAAGGAAATTGTTAAAACCAGACAGTAATAGATATAAAAGGCACAGCTTCCCTTTTCTGATATACACTTGTAAACTTTTTTCAGGTTTCCATGCATAAATCAAAAATGCTATCCTAACTATACATGGGAAAATATACCAACAAAAAAGTCTAAAAAGTTTTATACAGCCAACTGAAAGTATGAGCAGAAAGTTCATCACATAGATTTTGGGCACTGGTGGTTTAGGTGCCATCCTTCTCTGACAGTGGAGATTAGCCCACAATATTGTTTCTAATATCTGGGATACACCAACTAATAAATCTCACTATCTACCTTCCCATCACTTCAAAGTTACCACTCAACTGCTTCCGATGCCAACTCTTGGCCCTCTATAAACCACATGTAGTGCGTATTTAAAAGAAAACAACAACCAAAAACCAGACAAAAACAGAAAGAAAAAAACCCAAAACTTCTGTGAGACAAATTGATAGTTTGTACAGTAAAAGCTATAAATTCAACTTTCTTTAAGGCAATCTTTCTTACTGTAAGGCAGTCACTTTTGATGAAACAGAAGTTTTTTTATATTTCCACTTGAATATTTTGGTATCTGATTGGTGATGATTTCAGCTAACATCTCTGGGAATTCAATACTCATAGTCTTATCCAAAAATGTTTGGAAGCAATAGCCAAGAAGATTTTCAACCACCTGCAAGAGAAGACAGAGTAATGATGAGGCTTCAAAACTGAATAGTATGCTGAACATCTCATGCTCGTCAGGCTGTTTTTTAATATACGACCTAAAATACACAAATCATTACTGGAATTCTCCAGTTAAACAAAATAAGCATTTAAGTACAAGACATATTTTAAATTTCTTAAATTGTGTGTAAAATGAAAGTTGGGGGTCATGGGGAATACCTGTAATCTCAATATTGGGGTGAAAGCAAGTTCTAGGCTAGCATGGGCTACACAGTCACACCTTTTCTCAAAAACAATCGTGTGAAAAAGGTGTGGGATCACTTCATTCAGAAGCACAGTATTAAAATATATGAAGGCCATGTTATTCTAATAGATTTTTCATATAAAAAACAGGGACTTCTACCTTTTGAAAAATAGTGCTGTTAAATTCTATAATAATATGATTTTTATGCATATGACTAGATGAAATATTTAACAACTGGCCTTACAAAACTGAAGTTTACAAACTGAATTCAAACCATTATCAAAATCCATAAACTGGGGATGGGGTTTTTATGGTATACACTTATATATACTAATTAAAACATTTTATGTCCCACAAAATTCTTGTTATATTTGGCTTTATATTTGACACTTACTTCATGCATGGAGTCCAAAAGTTTTGTCAGTTGATAAAATCGTTGCCAGTTTTGACTGGAGTTTCCTTCCCTTTTGACAATGGCTTTTCCTAGCTCTTTGATGTAGGTCATTCTAATTTCATCAAATAGCTCTTGGCTCTTCAAACCTTCCTTAGGAACTAAAAGGTTAAGACAAAGTCAGTTAAGGAATTTCGTCTCTACAGCTTTTCATACACAAAATAGGACATTTAATGCATACTTCACAGTTACCTTTTCTCTATACTTTTCATGCTAAAATACGCATTTCCAAAGGATTATGAGAATATAGCCAAGAGGGGATATAGGATAATAGAGAACTGAAGGTCTTAACCTTGGGTGAATCACTTGGTTTCTAACTTACATCAGAAGCTGGTGATGACACCTTCCTCCATAATTCACAAGACTGTTTTTAAGGACCAAATTAAATGATAAGTGAAACTTTGCTGTCATTCTGCCCTTGAGTTTGATAGAAGGCTTCAATAATATGTTTATTGTATTAGTTACATCTCAAGAGTATCTGTGATATCAACATTTAATGAAAACTTTAAAATTAGCATGCAATGTAGTTTTAAATAAAATATAAACACTAGTGGATAAGATTTTAATCTAAAAAGAAACTTGATTTTTATCGTAGCATACAGATACACCTTATTAGAGAGCAAATGGCTGCCTTTCTATATTTACTTACAAGAACTAAAAGTAACTCATGACATGTGAAGCACAGTGGCTCAAACTGTAATCCTTGCTACTCAGGAGGCAGAGACTGGGAGGACTGAGGTTCAAGGCCAGCCTCAGCAAAATGTTAGGGAGACCCCATTCCAATCACGTCCAAGAGTGGTAGTGTACACCTGTCAAACCAGCCATGTGGGGAGCTTAAGGGCTCAGGCCCTGAGTTCACACTTCAGTAACCCCAAAACCACCAATCTACCCTTCCTACAACTCATGGCATAAAATGATTTTGGTATGCCGTTCCTTAGAAAATCAGCGCTACTAAGAACTACTAGAGGGTGATCATGGTCCCCTGACTTGCAGGGGTTCTCAAAGTATCCTCCTAGGAACACTGGCTCTGTGCCACACATCAGTCCGGAGGAAAAAGGATTAAGCACAAGAAAAGCTAAATGTGTAAAAAGAATGCAGATTTCTGAATTTCAGGCTTCTCAGAGATAATATTACGCACTTCTGTTTGCGTACAGTATTATCGATGATTTTTCACGCTGTGTAGCTGTGACAGAGGCTGAGCAATTCTGGAAACTTTCACTAACTTTCCCTTCACAAAAAAAGTTTGCCATCTCTTACTTACACTTTACACAATATATACCCTTTCATTTCATCCTTTCAATGTTTTCATTGAGGTATTCTTGCAAGAGCATAAAGTTGGATTTAAAAAAAAATCTATAGTCTTTCAATTAAGCTTGGAACATTTATTCCATTTGTACATTAGTGAAATTACCTTTATATTTGAATTTATTTGTACTTCTTATCCTGCCCCTTTCTGTGTCCCCTGCCTCCTATTCTTTCATTTTTTTGTTTGTTTGTTTGTGGCAGTACTAGAGATTGAACTCAGGGCCTCAAAGCAAAAGTTTACCCACTTGGGCCACACTCAAAGTCTTTTTTCTTTTGTTTTTCAGATAGGGTCTTAAGCTACTTTGCCTGGTCTTGTCCATCCTCAAACTCTGATCCTTTTGTCTTAAAAAAATAACCAAAGGGGAAAGGACTGGAGGTGTGGCTTAAGTGGTACAGTTCCTGCCTAGCAGGAGGTTCTGAGTTCAAACCTCAGTATTGCCCCCACCAAAATAAAAAAAGAAATGTTTTTTAGAAGCCTGTTTTCCTTCTCCCCTCCTATCAGAGGACAAGAAGGCTAGAAGGGGCTAGGATTCTCTATGTGCCTTTTCCTCTAGGTCAGATAAGGCTCTGGTAAAGTACTTAACCTTAGAGGGCAGGTCTTTGTTATGGAGAACATGCCCCATGTATTACCAAGTGTTTACTTTACCCCTCTCTACTATCAGAAAAAGAAGGGAATTCTTCTCATCTTCACCAGGAGAACCTGGTAGAGTTTCTGAAGGTAAAATTCCAAAAAAACATGGGGAGCTCTCTTAAGACTGGGTTCCTGAGAATTCTGAACTCTCAATCTAGTCCTCCAATTGATGTAAGCCTTTTCAGATAGCTTTTTTCACTCAATAATGAACATTTAAGGTTTCTCTATGTCTTTTCATGACTTTATGACAAGTTTTTTTAGCCTTCTTAGTGCTGAATAATACTCCATTGTTTGGATGTACCAGTTTATGTACATTCATCTACTGAAGGCCATCTTAGTTGCTTCCAAGTTTGGACAGTATGAATAAAGCTTCTATAAATATATAGGTGGATGTTTTTGTGCAGACATTGTTTTTAACTGAGGGGTAAGAGCATGTTTAGTTTTGTAGAAAACCACCAAGCTGTCTTCTAAAATGGTCATACACTATTTTGCATTTCCTCTAGCCAATGAGAGTTTCTACTGCTCCACATCTTCACCAGCATTTGGTGTTGTCATTGTTCTGTATCTATTGCTTTAATTTCCATTTCTCTGATGATACAATGTGACAGGAAGCATCTTTTCATATGCTTATTTGCCATCTTTGTATCTTCTCCAGTGAGGCGCCTACTAAGGTCCTTGGTCCATTTAAAAAATAAGGTTGTTTTCTTACTGTTGAATTTAAAACATTACTTGTATATTTTGCAGAACAGTCCTTTATCAGATATCTGGAGACTTTTCTTATTGAAAATGCCACCTCAACCAATATAGACAAGATCCTTCAGTTTTGAAAGCTATCTTTGCTAGCTGAAAGTAATCTAGTTTAAATGTCAACAGCCTAGTTCAAACTTTTAAAAATGTTTTATAAGAGCTTAATGCTATTTTCTAGGATATTTTATATACACGGTAGCCTTCTTTCTATAACTACAAGTAATAGTGCCCTAGAGAAATGAAATCATTGTTGGCTTTTGGTCTTCTTCCCAAAGACCAAAGGAAGAAGAAAGCAGTCCACACACATTCTGATTAACAGAGATTTGTTCCAGTGAATTCATACACCTATTCATCTCACTAATCTTGACATTGCTGAACATGCCTCTCTAAAATTTTACTTTTATAAAAATCATGTGATGAACAGAATACAGCAGTAGACTAGGTATAATTATTAGTACTATGTCTATAAATAATCCTGTGTTTCTAAATCTTCATATCCTATGCTTTTGCCATTTTTAGAAGTATTCACCAACCTGAAGAGAGAAGTAGTAAGGTTTTCATGCACAGATATTCTTCGTAAGATACCTGAAGTCTTCGTAACTCAGAGGAGACAAACAGCATATGTTTACATTGGTCATACATGCAGGGTAGACTCATTCTCTGCCTGTGAGAGACAAACAGTAGTGTTTGCGTTACAAATAGCACTGGTTCCAAAAACAGTACATTTCTTTCTTTTCTTTTTTCAAAATGAAGAACTCATAAATGAAAACAGAACTACTGCTATTAATGCAGTAGAACAAGAATTTTGGAGAACCTTCCTTAAACTTGTTCCTTGGTCTAGAGTATCTAAAAGAGACTACTGAATAATCTAATTTTACATTGGAGACATTATTTTTCTATCATGCATGCCATATATTGTTTTATTTACTTTAGTATTTAGAATTTATTCCTACAGTTTGCCAGGTGCTCATTAAATCACGGCTTAGCATTTGAATATGGCCAGATAGATAATAGTTTCAGACGCTACCTGCTTAAAAATCATAAGACATCTAAAGACAACCATTTGTGACACTGTGTGCAGTTATACTGAGGGTCAGAATTAGCACTTGACTCTAGACGTTCTGATACCAGACTCTCTGACTCTTGATAGGCTTGTGACCAAACAGTCTTTTTATTTTTTTATTTATTTAATTTTTTGTGTCAGGGCCTGACAATGTAGGCCAGGCTGGCATCAAACTCTCCATCAATCCTCCTGCCTCAGCCTCCAGAGTGCTGGGATTCTAGTGTGTACCACTACACCTGGCATCCAAATCAACTCTTGATTATGATTTTAAACATTTTAAGAAATTTTCTTTTTTACATTTCTGAAAGTGATCTTCACTCTAACAGGAAAAAAAAAAACCCCAAAGTTATTACTTTTCTCAACTGAAGATGTGGCTCATTTATGTGATAAAATGAATTAGATGTGAATTGTGTGTTGCCAAAGTAATCATGGAGGAGCTACCCTGGCTCTTCAAATTTACAGTCCCTCACCAAGGAGACACCTTCCCAATCCCCTAGTAGTAATTAAGTACTTCTTTTCTGGGAACTTCTAACCATTTAATTTCTTAATTCACCAAAGTTACAGCTTAGTAGAGTAACAATGCATTCTTGACGGCTAAAAAGAAAAAAATATTTTCACACTGTGACCTAAAGACAACCATGTGAATCTGTCTTATAGGCATGCATCTCACCCCCAAAACTGCCTATCGCAGACACCAGAACTATATGGGGACACAGAGGGCTAGGAAAAGACAAAAGAGATGGACACATGCCCAGAGCATAAAGACAAGAATGCCAGCTTCAAAACTATTTTCCCTGTAAGTTATGGCTCCTCCAGGAGGAACACAGTAAAAATAGCACTTTAAAAACTGGCTAAAATCTTTAAAAAGCATTCTTCCACAAGGAAAATGAAACTAATGTAAATTTGTTGAGAAAAATATCTGAAATTCTAACTTTATGTGAGGAATATATGTTGCATAATCTGATTATGCTGTGACTTTGCTTAAATCTAAATTGGAGTGCCATAAAAGTAAAAACTCTGATGAAAATGGCAAGTTGATGTTTCACATACATCTATTCTTGGTTTTAATGTCAACTAAATACCTTCCAGTTGCTTATTAGAAAGGACTATAAACACCACTAACATGATTTTATTTTTCTTTTAAAAGCACCAGGTGGCTTCTGAAATGAGTAACAATCTCTTGAATTTCTATATATGCTAAATATATTTACCAGTTAATTTAAAATTGGATCAAACTTCTAATCTTGTTGCATTGTGACATAGTGGTTTGAACAGTTTTCTTTTGGGCAATAGCTAGTCAAAGTGACTTCTTTCTCTGACACAGATATTGAGTGTATCTGTATAAAAGTGTGTGCTGGCCAAGCGTAAGTATTGCCTACTGGCTGAAGGCCAAGCTATGGCCCCTTGGAAATGAGTGCAGCCTATGTATTTCACATGCCTCATCGTGTTGCTTCTCACTACAAAGCCTGGTGCCTGCATAACACCTCCTCCAGGGTACCATTAGGTCTGAAATGGACCACCTTCTAGTATAAACTCAATCACAGTCTGTAATTATTTTATGTATTTGGTGGTTATCTGTGTTTCCCCTACTAACTTGTAAGCAACTAAAAATCAGGAACCTTGTGTGTCCTACTCTGTGCTTCTGAGCACATATTAGGAGCATGATGGGGTTGGTGTGTAGCTCATTGGTAAAGTGCTTGCCTAGCATGGAAAAAGAAAACCCCAGAAAACAAAGAATGAGTATGATGATTATTTGCTGTTCCCCTGTAATCCATTCTGGCTGTTTCTCAGTCCTTGAAAATAATCTAAACTATTTCATGGCCCACAAGATTCTACTTATCTTCGTGACTGTTCACTTCCATACCTTATCCCCAGTGGCCTTCTGTCAATTCCTTACACCAAGCTTGTTTCAAGTTTGCACTTGTTTCTTCTGCCTTGAATGCCTTATACTTTCAAATATTTGAGTGATCAGCTACTTAGGTCTTTTCTGATCATAAAATCTCCCTCTCTACTCTCCAGGTACACTATTGTATGATGGCTCTGTGAAATAATTTGGGTCATTTATTTAAACTCCCTATCAGAATGTTAACAGGGGTCTCATCTATTATATTTTATTCCAAATGCTTCAAATAGAGTCTGGCACTTGGTAAGTACTTAAATACCAATAAATGGCAAATAAGTATCACCAAGTGCGGAAGTTTAACTAGGGTACTTAGTTCAGCTAGGACTTTTCTATGCAGGCTAGACTTTTCAGGCTATTAGCAGAAAAACCTAAAATCTCTGCTGCATGCAATTCTTATTCATCCTGTAAGCTATGGCCTTGAAATTAACAGTAGTACAAGGAAGAGGGTCCTGGATCTACATTACCTCACAAACTGGTCTTTCTTGCATACTGCCTAAGAATCTCTTCTTAAAAATAATAATCTGGGGCTGGTATCATCCACTCCTTGTGAAACACTTAAAATAATGGGAGCTTGCTACCATGAGTCAGGCTCTCCTGTAACATTCAGCTCAAACACATGCTTTTCTGTAACTCCTACCCATTGTTTTTGTACAGGCACACATAACAGGAATGTTTGCTATCTTTTCATACAGTATCTCTTTAGGTTGTCCTCAATGCTCTCATCTCTTTTTCTCTAAATATCTCATGTTCATAATCAGTATTAATTTCCAGACTCTGCCTCTGGACACATTTCAGGTGCTTATTCTTAATGTGGCACCCAGTTCTATACACAACTGACTAGTGATGGATTTACTTACATATAGTGCAATTGGGACTATTATTTTTTTTACATAAATACCTCCAATTTTTTTTTTTTTAATCTGAGTGGGAACTATGTGTGTGAAGAACAATAGGAAAGGGGTTCTGAAAAGCCATGCAAACTATGCACTGGGTGGTCAGTGAGGTGATTTCATGGAGAGACAACACTAGCAAATGAAGGCTGCACTGAGGGTCTGAAATGAGTGAGGAGCCAACTTCAATGAGGTCAAGGGAATGGACACCTAAAACCTTTCCAAAGAGTGACACAGGACTAGAGGATAAGAAAAAAGCTGGTGTACCAAATCTGAAATTCTGACTGGTCCTCAGTTTAAGTAATCTGTCCCCATGTTTCTAGGTCACAGACATTGCGAGCCTTGCCACGGACAGAGACACGTCTTGTCTCTGGATCCCCTTAGCTCAGATTTCCTCATTTGTAATGATCTCCACTGAGTCCACAGTTTTCTTGTGCTCTTTCTACTATCACAGTAGACTTTACTGACCCCAGGCAGGCACTCTGCCACTTGAGCCATGCCCCTAACCTTTTTGGCTTATTTTTTTCAGATAGGGGCTTGTGTTTTTGCTTGGGACAGCCTCGGCTGTAGATCTTCCTACCTATGCCTTCAGTGTAGCTAGGATTATGGATACATACCACCATACCTAGCTTGTTGGTTGAGATGGGGTCTTGTTAACCTTTTGGCTGGGCTGGCTTCAAACTGTGATCCTCCCAATCTCTGCCTGCCAAGTAGCTGGAATTATAGGCATAAGCCACTGTGCCTGGCTACAAAATATCTAAAAACAAGTCCTGGTACAGTAATAATGCCTCATGTACATTTGCTCTATGTTATACTTGATCTGCCCAAGAATTTATAATCAACTCTATTTCATGTTTGTTCACTTCCTAGACAGCTGGAAGGATTGATTTAATCCTGCATTATTACAACAGCAGTCCATCAAGAAAATATCAGCTTGTTAAAATACCATATGAATGAATACAGGGACAATGACTCTCATACAACTTACTCATCTATAATCAGATCAGGAGCAAAACACAGAAAACCTCCATTTGATTGTCTGTATGATCTCCAGCCCAGGGCAAAGGCCATGAGAAACATCCATGAGTACTGAAGAAGGGTCATTTGGTCATCCAGGTGTAAGTTCCTGAATCCTGAATTAGGAGAAAGAAAGGTATGAGGCAATGCTCTGGTTGGCAAAGAGAAGAGCATCTCTCTAGGACTGTGAAAGAGCAAGAACATTGATGAACCTTGTTTGGGGTGTTTCTTAACAAATAAATGAAATTGCCAAGTGAACACAGCTTTCTTTTGCCATCTGACACATCAAGACCTAAGCCCTCAGAACTTTTTTTTAATGGCATAAGAAAACTTATTAGTCAGTTTTTGTCACCTTTTGCCTATACAAGTAAACATGAGCTAAACTGAGAAAGAGAAAGCCAAGAGTACTCATTTAGGATATTAATCAATGATAAAATTTAAAAACTTTCAGATACAGTCACACTTCTTTGTCCCTGGATAGAATTATTATTCTTGTACTGTTGCTATTTGTGTGGCCAAAGCTTGTCAGTTCCCTCGATTTATTAAGTTGAGGTTGACCCTAACATTGACTTTTCTGTTCTGCATAAAGTCCCAATAGGGAAACTTTTGTTTAAAATTATCTAAAAAATTAGGTGAAAAATTACATTCATTGTGTAGCATTTCATTTAATGAAGAGGCGAAATCATTCTGCTTGAGAAAGCAAAATTTTTGACAAAGTCAACACACCTGATGTTTACCAATTTTACAAACAACCTGAAGGAAAATACATGGAATTTTCAGAAATACTATGTGTTTTCTTCCCCTAGACACCAGTGTGAAAGAAATTTTGTGTAAGCTCTATAAGTCTAGTTCTGATATTATAATATCCTATCTAAAATTACTACACTGTGCTGAAAAGCAGGGAGCAGTAAACATGTTTTATCATAGACTGTCTACTTGCCCATATTCACCTGACTGTTCCTCAAGCTGTAGGCATGAGTATGAAAAATAACAGATGCTAGGAGATCCAGGGGATAAAGAGCCCAGAGTGTGTCCAGTCAAGAAAGAGAAAGGCTTATACTGTGGCTCTGTCAGCCTCTGTATTGTACCTGGTATTGCCTTTGCCCATTTCACTGCTGCAATCACTTGGCGCCCACCTAACATGTTGAGTGTGGTCATGATCCTCCAAGTAGAATCTGGAACAGAGCTGTCATATCCTGCATACAACACCTCAGGTTCAATGACCTCTAACAGTGACACCAAGGTAGGGGTGAGTTGTGGTAATGTGGCAGGAACTACTGTTTTGTTAGCAGGATTTTCAGAAGTGTCTTGTGAGACTCCTGTAGCGGCTTGCTGAATTCCTTTTATTTTTTTCTTTGTTTTTCGAGCTGTGAATATTGAAAAAAAATAAATGGAAATGAACTGGAAGGTATGGGCAACAAAGTTGTATTTTTAATTTCTAAGCAGATATCAAAAGAGGGGAAATATTTTATTCAGCACTTGTGATAAAGTGACATGGAATCGGAAATTGTTTTTTTCTGAAAACAAAAGTTTCATAGGAACCCAACTCCCGTAATTCATTTTCCCTATGAGTAAGCTAGTAACTCATTACTTTACCTAAGTCTTGTAACACTGTTAAAACAACCAGTAGATTCACTTCTGTAGATTCTTCTATAAATTAATTGGTCTAATTTTCACTCTAAATGTGAAAATTTCATGAAGTTATTTGGGATAAATTACTTTTACAATCAATTGAAAGACTCTCTCTAAATCTGTAACAGCATATTAGAAACTGTAGTTTAGGATTAACCTAAATTATTGTTTTATACACACACATATAAAAAGAGTGCTACATTATCTACATTACTTTTATACTTCTACAAAAACCATCCTTATCAAGATGACATAGTAGGTTACATATTAAAAACAGTTCTATCAATCTTCTTTTTACCTTTACGTGATAGATACCACTTAGGAATAAAACACTTAGGGAGCTGAAAAGAAAAGCTTTACATTTCTTTGCATAAGTTATCAGTGGGAAATTTCCCTTTTATAAATAATATTTATACTGATGATGGCATAAACCTTAAAACAGCCATTATTGTACTAAAATTATCTTGTATCTATGATTTTGTATAAAACAAGCCAATCAAATTATAGCATGGATTCTGTAGATTTTTAAAGTAATTTTATTCATGCTCCTGAAGTTAATTTTTTGCCTAAAATTATTATTATTATTATTATTATTTGGTGGTACTGGGGCTGGAACTCATGGGCTCATGCTTGCTAGGCAGGTGCTATTTTTTGCTTTAGTTATTTTTTGGAGAGGGTCTCTCATTTTTAATCAGGGCCAGCCTCGGCCTATGATCCTCCTACTTATGTCTCCTGTATGGCTGGAATTACAGGCATGTTCCACCATACTTGCTTATTGTTTTGAACGGAGTCTCACTTTTTGCTCAGGCTGGACTTGAACCATGATTCTTCTGGATATCTGAGACTACAGCCTTGAGCTACCATTATTCTCTTAAAGAGATAATATTCTCTTAAAGAGATTGGACTTGAACCATGATTCTTCTGATATCTGAGACTACAGCCTTGAGCCACCATTATTCTCTTAAAGAGATAATATTCTCTTAAAGAGATAGTACTTGAACCATGATTCTTCTGGATATCTGAGACTACAGCCTTGAGCCACCAATAATCTCTTAAAGAGATAATATTCTCTTAAAGAGATAGTACTAAGAGCTCTAAGGAAGTTTTAAGAAATGTAATTTAAATGATCAGGGGTGCAAACTATTTTGAAAAGGAAAAAATAAGCACAAATTAAAATAATTATTAGATCTTTTGTTCATAAAATGACAAAATATATAATTTGTAGAAGACAGATACAATGGAAAGAACTGTATCTCAATGCCCAGTGTTGGGAAAAAAACCCCAGTCATTTACAACGAAGATTTTGTGGGCACTAAGAAATTTAAAAATTTTTAGTTAATGTTTCAAAACAGAGAAACAGCATCATATGATGGAACTGTTCTAATTTTGTTTGCCATGTTCTCTTAGAGGCACTGGATAGGTTAGTAGTAGAGAGCATAAATCCGAAACCAGTATGTTGGATTGAAATCTTGGTTTTACCTTTTGTAGCTGAGTATTCTGTACAAGCTACTCCCTGTGCCTTACTTTCTTATTCCATAAAATGAGGATAATATCAGTCCCTACTTCATAAAGTTGTTGTGAGAATTAAATCAAAATATGTAAAATGTTTAAAATAAACAAATCCTACCACACAATCAGTACCATATAAGACCAATCATTACCTCAACTTGTAGAATGTTTTTAGAATACTTTAACTCAGGCAGTACAACTCTATAGGATAACAATAAAACTCAGAGCTCCTATACATAAGGAAACCCTTTAAACAACCAAAGGTGTCCCACAGAAACCCAGATCCAAACTCATGGAATGTAATTTATTGGTGATGTAAAAGACAGAACATGCATGCCCCAAGTCTCCATGCTGCGAAACTCAACCACAACTTCAAGTGGTTTCAGATGCATGTTTCTACACTGTTCGTCAAAACAAAGAGGAAAGGATAATGACAAGCTAGAGAATTTAAATAAATCCATAAATGTAAATTTCATTACTATTTATGCAATAAACAAAACTATACCTATGAATGATTACTGTACACACTAAAATAAAATGTACATAAACCATTTAGGATCACCATTAAAAAAACGTATCTGTTTTTAAATGCCAGGAACTTTAAGCAGTGAAGAGGTTGCCTTAAAATAAATCTTGAGATTTACTCCAAAACAGTATCAGAATCCACGACTTGCAGCAATATTAAGTTAACATATGGAGAGAATTGGGCTCAGAGCTAACTGCCTCTGCAATGTTACTCTGAGGCTATCATCAAAACTGCTTGGCTGAAGGAAGCACTCCGAGTAAGATTATTTCTAAAGACTTAAAAAATAGTGTGAGATCCATGGCTTTTCTATTTTGTTCTGAAGTATTACGGTTTGCCAAATTATTTGTGGCATACATACATAGCTATGTCAAATAAAAGTTTTATATATATTAGGACTAATTAAAAACAAAATGAGGCCTTCACACTAAAATCACACATACACAAACCCTATAAACTTACATTTTTAAGCTTTTCTTTCAGTTTGTCTACAAATAGATTACCAACAACATCATGTATATTGCCTCATGTCAGTATAGTATAAAATGACAAAGTAGAACTTTGTCTACCATGTATGGTAAAAGTATACATAAGGTTAATCTTAGACCTGCTCTGAAGGTTCAAAATAACTTCATTGAGTAGAATATACTTGAAAGACTAGCACATAGTAATTCTTGATAATGCTATTTCTTCCCATTTTGATATATTACACTGATGATTTGCATACACTGGTTGTTGTTAATACAGTATTCTGAGAAATCATACCTCATATTAAATTTATATGTCTAAATTTTATTCATTTCAGAAAAACATTTTGACAGACTTTCATCAAAACACCAGATTGGAAATGGCAGTGATGGTATTTAGGTGACAGTCACTGCCATGGTTGTCTTCCAGTGAGGTAAGGGCAAATGTAGTAACTACTGCGTCAAGGTCATTACTTTAGAGTTGCTATACTGTATTTATTTTGAACAAAGAACTCCCTTATGGTTTGAATAGGGAGGAATTTATCCAGGGAAATTAAACTCCAGAGACCTTAAACTTACCATATGTTCAGTAAACTACCTAAAGAATATTATTGGGTTTATCTTTGATCTTTATCCAAATTTTATTTCGAAATATAAAATAGCTTAAATGAAAACACTGAAGGTTAGAGAAAAATAGTAAAACTGAGGCTGGGTTAAACATACCAATCACTAGAAACTGATGTGTTAAAAAAAAATAGATATATCTAAATGGTCAAAGAGTATTACATACTTAGGAGATTAGAGAGCAACAAAATGAAACTAGGTAAAATCTGGCCAGAGATCTGGTGTATAAGAAAGTAAGGAATAAATGTGATATTTTTATAACAAAAAGAAACTACCCTTGAGGTACTGAAAGCCAATCGCCTGTTAGGTATAATTAATCTCTGTTGCTTTTGTAACACACCTGCAAGAAAGTGAGTAGCCATCATATTTTTTAAGCCATGTTTAATATGTTAAGCCGGGAAGGTGGTACATGCCTGTAATCCTAGAATTTAGGAGGCTGAGTTTAGGGCCAGCCCAGGTTACAGAACGAGTTTGATGCAGGTTTGGGCCCTATAGTGAAACCCTGGTGGAGAAAAACTAAAAAACAAACCAAAAACAATAAAAAACCCCAAACAACAACAACAAAACCCACAAAAATAAACATTTAGCAACTCTGCAATCTAGTTTAAGCAACCTGGTCATTCTGTGTGTGTGGTCTGAGAAATTAGACTCCTTATATTTAATGACATATACAGTCTGTGCTAAGCAGCACCAGTCTTTCCTATCAACAGAACTGCATGGATTCCACTTTTCTCAATATCACCATCTTTCATCTAGATTACTGCTATCATTATTTACTGTCAATACAAGATTAGTCTTTTTGTGTGTGTGTGGTGGGGGGTACTAGGGTCTGAATTCAATGCTTCACAATTGTGAGGCAGGCACTATGCTGCTTAAGCCATGGCTCCAGCTCTTTTTGCATTGGTTATTTTTATCCAGGCTGGTCTGGATTGCAATTCTCTATTTTATGCTTCCTGCTGCAGCTGAAGTGACAGGCACATGCACCATGCCCATGTTTTTCTGTTGAGATGGGAGAGGTCTCACCAACTTTTTGCCCTTTTTGGAATGGGGATCCTCCCCATCTTTTTCTCTTGAGTAGTTGGGATTATAGCCATAAGCCACTGGTGCCTGGCCTCAAGATTAGTCTGATCATTTCTCTGCCCTTATTTTTCATCTAATTCCTATTCAACTTCTATATTTAAAATGCAATGTTACTTTTTCCAGGATACCTTCCCATGACATTCTGGGCAGAATTAGTCAACCTACTCTCTTGCTCCTGTATCATTATTCCTTTTGTGGGTGCCATGCTATTTTATGATTGATCTTGCAACATAAATACACAGTAACTCCTTGAATACAGGCATTCAACTTTACATTCACTTTATGCATTTTTGGTAAATATTTGCTGAATGAAAGTGCTACAGTCATGACAAATAGTAAGCAACATAGAACTTGCCATTTTAAAGTAAAATTCTAAAGTTTTAAAATTTTAATTATAGAACTTGTTATATAAACAAGGGTATGAACCTCTAGCTTATGACTAGTTTTAGGTTTTTCTTTACTTGAAAACTAAAACAAAACCCATAAAATGCCTCCTTAAGGTATTTTTTCTTATAGAGCTATAAAAAGACTGTATGACATAACTATTTCAAAGTAAAAGGTAAAAGAAAAATCAACATAAGAAACATTTCCAACCTTAGAGAACAGTTTTGAGGTTTAAAAAAGATAAATGTGAAGTTATTTCAAGTTATGTAAAGTTTTGTAACTGCATGATTTCTTAGTGAATACTCTGGCTATGTTGAAATCAGTGTATATAACAAGAGATGGTGAGCAAACAAACATATATATTCATGGGAAAACTATTTTATTGGGCAGTAATATAAAATTATGCTTGTTAAGCACATATACTGAATTGACTAAATTATTGTATCTGCATACTTAGATTGTAAAGAAGTAAAATGATCCATTTTCATATGATGCAGAGGTGTTTCCTTTTAGGTACTACTTTACCTTCTAGGTTCATTCCAGCTTGAAGGCATTTCCGGTAGCGACATGCTGGGCAGTTCTTTCTTCGGATTTTATCAATGATACAATCATTTCTTCCAGCACAAAGGTAATTGTGCTGCCCTATATGGAACAAAAGGCACTGTTAACATTCCATGGGTCTTCAGGGATGTCTTTTTGTGGTGAGCCTCTTTCTGTTTCTGTTGTGGGTAGAATATGGATAAGACCCAAAGGCGTGAATTAAGGAAGGTAACAGTGTGCTTGCCTACACTGATGTTAATTACAGGATTGAAAGGTCAATTAAAAGGTCTCATTCTGCTCAACAAATTGAAAAGTTTATTAAAACTTTACTACAGTATACATATATATAAGTACACAAATTATTTACATTTTCATTAACTGAGCACCCACCTCCATGTGATTAGATCTCAGATCAAGAAATAGAACTGTACCCTACAAATCCCCATTGTGTCTGAGTCTAACCACTATTCCTCAAAGCAAAGCACTTTTTGGATAAATTGTGCTTTATATAAACAGTTACAGAAGATGTCCATGATCACTGTATTATTATGACCTCTGACCTAATGCTAAAGAGACTAATGAAAGAGGGAACTGGTTTCAAAATACTGTGAGAGTCCCAAAGGGAAAATTACTTTAAGTCAACATTATCGCATAATGTGCAAATAACATATACACTTCTCTCCAATTTTAAGAGACAGGTGAATTTAATCTTGAATGTTAAAGTTTCCAATAGCTATTAGGTGAAACACAGACTTGATAAACTAAATCACCTTAGATCTTAAGGAAATGTTTTCACAGTGAAGTTTGAATGCACCTTTGGCTTCATATATTAATTTAAGACTATTACTGTCTAAATCTTCTGGTAGCCTGATGTGTTAAGAAGAACTACAGTTCACTCTTTGCAAAAATTTTCAAGGAAAATTTAAAAGGAAAGGACTAAAAGTTTCCCCAGCCCTTCACATGCACATTCTTATAGTCTTTTAAAAAATCTGGTTATATTTAATGTTAAAGAAAACTCTCAAAGAATATGCTGGCCTCACAAAAATAGAAGAAGTTTCCTACAAAAGTCCAGCCTGTCTACATACATACATGTAACTTATGCTAGAAGGAATGGTCTTCACAAGACTTTACACAACATTTTTCAAGACTATTAAAAGTAAGGGCTGGGATATAGCTGGGTGGTACAGTGCTTGCCTAGCATGTGTGAGGCCTGGGTTCGATTCCAGCACCAAAAAAAAAAAAAAAAGAAAAAAAAAGAAAAAGAAAAAGACAAAAAGAATATTAAAAATAAAATAAAAAAAATCATAATGATCAATTCACCAGTCCTGGCTTCTAAGAAAAGATTCTTTAGGGCAACCTAAGACCTGAATAAAAAATTGTTTCTTCCTCGTGTGAAAAATCGTACTTTTATTTAAATACTAGTTTTGGGTAGATGGTTACTATAAGAGGTTTAATGCTTTGTGAAGAACAGGCCACAAAGTTGACTATTTGACCTTATTCCAGACTATTCCAGACCTATTCTCCCATGCCAAATGTCTGTGCTAGTTGTTTCAGTTCCCTTCTGTATTCTGCAAACTTCCTAGCTTCTTGGACACAAAACAGAAGTACAAACCTAATAAAATTCTATCCTCAATACAGAAAAGTAGTAACAACAGATGTATCCATAGTTGAAACATTTATAAAGACATTTTATCCCGTAAGAATATCCTTAAATCAGTGTCCTACAGTTACTAATAGAAAAAAAAAACTACTCACTGCTAAAAACAGAAGAAAGTCCAATGTTTTATTTATGTTCCACTAAAAGTTCAGAATCAATAGTATTCCAATATTGATTTCTTTCTTCTAGCTTATGCCTTGAGCACACTCAAGAATCATAGCTACAGGCTCAGAGGCATTGTACCTTCCTAAGTTAGAATTTCCTATCTGGTTATTAGTATAAAGTTGGGCAAGTCTATCTTTCACTCATCTACAAAACAAGGAACTTCAGCTAGTGTTCACTATTTCACAAGGCATGGTTATGCATCACTACTAGTCATTTTGTGTACATCCTTTTAAGACAATGAGACATCTTATTTTGGAGTTTCTATAGATTCTACTACTTGGTAAATACTCTTTTTTAAACAGATGTCAAATGTAGAGCTTTCAAATCAGCTTAAACTTTTTAACAATGTTTATATGATATTAATGCATGGTTAAAATCTGCTTTTGGCAAGTGATTCTGGTTATCCATTTATGGTCAGTGTGGTAGCCAGCCTTTAAGATGGCCCCAGTGATCTCTGTCTTTTGTTATTTATACTCTTGTGTAGTCCCTTTTCAAACCATACCATGGCCTCTGTGACCAGTAAAATAAGGCAGAAGATTTGAAACTGGGTTATAAAAGACTTGGTTCTCCATTGGTTATACTCTCTTGGAATATATATTATTAGGGAAGCCACCTGATACATTGAGAGTAACCCTAGAAGAGGCCAACACAGTGAGGAGCTGAAGCTTCCAGCCAAAAGCTATGACAGTGACCTTGGAAGTGAATCAAGTCCTAGATAAACCTTGAGATGCAGCCCCACCGATGGCCTGGCCTGAATCTAACCTCCCAAGAGCTAGCTGTAGACCACCCAGCTATATGCTTCCAAAATCCTGACTCTCAGAAACTATATGCCATAATAAATGTTTTTTAAGCTACTAATTTTAGGAGTAATTTTTATGAGCAACAGATTACTAATACAAAAGAGATAGTAAAGTTTGTTGTTTTAATGAATTTAACTTTTAAAAATAGGTACCCCAAGAAAAATGTTAAGTGGTGAAGAATGATACATGGATATAAACAAGATCATCAAAGTGATATAGGAAATAAGCAACACAGCAAAGGGCACACAAAACATGCAAGTTGTATACAGTATTTGAAGTATCTCAGGATTAATTATAAACTATGACTACCAGTTTTAGGTTTCTATGTATGTTCTCAGTAGCAGTGTGATATAGTAGGAAGTGGGGTGCCAAGAAATCATTGATCCCAATCCTAGTTCTACTGCCTAGCTGAGTGACCACAGTAACAGTTATTAACTTGTCGGTGTCTCTATTCCCCATATGTAAAGTTAGAAAATTAGCATCCACCTTGCTAGGCTTCTATAAGGGTTGGAGATAATTATTCAATGTGCCTAACACACTGTGAACACTCAGTACATATTAGCTATTAGTTAATTCTCTTGTGATTACTTTTATCTCAGCATCTAACTAGATTATAAACTGATGGATGATGAATTTGTTATATATTTCCTCTGGGGTCAGTATAACATGGAGACAGCTCTGTTTCAATCCTGGCTCTGTTCTTAAACTCTCTGAGCCTGTTTCCTAGCCTATCAAATTGAGATCATAACAAGAGCTTACAGAGCTATTAATTAAAAAATATAATATATATAGTATTTGGCACATGGTAAATTAAGGGCAGTTGCTTCCTATTTTTTTTTTTTGCCTACCAATAAAGATTACCCACACTTCCTGGGCAAAGGGAATATAAGAAAAAGGGACTTAAGACAGGGGAAAAAAAAAAAAAGACCACAGAAAGAAATGGAGCTATTCACACTTGCAGAAAAGCAACTCCCAGAATATTGAGTGAAAAAAAAATAGCTGTCCTTCATCTGGGCTGCATGGACAATAAGCAAGTAAAACTTACACAGATTTCCAAAGAATAGTTAAATATTTGGTATTTCTTATTAAGCTATACCAATTAGGAGGGATGAAGTACATTTTCTAACAGGTATTAAAAATGGAGTGCAAAGTGTATGCAAATCACGCAAGCTTTAAGTGCTGCAAAATATGTACCTGGGCTTCAAAAGCATATAGGAAAAATGGAATAACTGCTATAAGTTAGAGTATAGAATTATCAGTTTTTAGACCTGGAAAAGGCCCTGAGAGCATTAAAATCTAAGTTAAGGAGGAAACAAGAGAAAACTGATTTACTTAACATATTCTACATTTAAACTTTTCTTTTTAATCACTGAATTACTTTACTGAAATACTCAAATGAAAACAGTACAGCTAACATTCATTTAAATTTTATCTAAGAACAAATATAAAACAAGCAGGGATTAAGCTCAGAAGGCATGATGTTATTTTCAGAGGTTAAGTTTAGCTTTGTTTTCTGGTTTGATTGGAGTTGGATGCTTTTAGGTAGGGCATGCGTGTACTCACTAATGTCAATCCTGCCCTCCTCCTTTTAAGTGTGTACAGTGTCACAGTTGGTCCTTATAGGCATTTGAATTTGTAACTGTGTTTTTTTTTCATTTGTTTGCCCATTTATTATGAAGGACATGACACAGGTTCTGCATGCACAGCCAGATGGAAGCCATGAATAGGGTGAGGTATGGGAGAAGGAGGCATAGAGCTCCCCTGCTCTTTCCAGGCATGCTACCCTCTAGGAACTTCCATGAGTTCAGCTGAACTCCAAAAATACTATCCTTTGGGGTTTTTTGGAAGCTGCCTTATGTAGGCATGGCTAATTAAACCAGCAGTCATTGTTTATCAACTCTCAGCTTGCGCTTCTCTCCCCTCCTTAGAGTTCAGAATAGGACTGAAAGTTCCAACCCCAGTCATGTGTTTGGTAGACTTGGCTGCCAGCTTCTGACCTGACTATATCTAGGGACCCCAAGCCAGCAGTCATCTCATTAGCATACAAAAGTCACCCCTCACTCTGGGCATTCCAAGGGTTTTAGGAGCTATGTTGGAATGAAGACTAAGGGTATATTAGTATCACAGCAAGACAGCCTAGAAGGCTTTTCTGTTTGCAAGTGCCCAGTACCACAACAGATTATCCACAGCATTAGCACATCCTGCATCGTAGCCAGTCTCCAGAATGGTTTCCAGTGGTCCAGTACACACTGAATATAGTCCCCTCTCATGTGGTACCAGGAGAACAGGCAATTCTGAGATTAGGCTGTATAAGACTGTGCCTTCTGCCTGGGGTCCATTTCTCTGAATCAGTTTCTCTGGAGGAAGTTGGCTACCGGATTGTGAGCAGCTCTATGAGAAGACCAGAGTAGGGAGGGAATAAACCTCAGTTAGTAGCAATGTGTGGGAGCTTAGCATCAAGTGCTCCTCATGGCCTGCCTGTACCCTCATGGGAATGCCCAAGTTAGCACTACCAAGGTGAGCTGCTCCCTATACAGAAACTGTGAGATAAGACATGTTTGCTGTATAATCCTGTTTTAAAGAATAAGTAAAAAATTTTTTTAATCTCATTAATTTTAAGGCTCTATTGTCTCATTCTGAGTTTCACTTTGAAAAATCAATTTGTCAATTTTATTATATGCAGCAGTACTGTATTACTAGTATCATTGACTTTATATCTTAGAAATACTCAAGCAATTAAGAAAGTGCTGAATAAAATAAAGTGAGGGTAAGAAGAGGCTTTTGATGATTTGCTAAGTAACATTCACACCGTCAGGGGCAGTGTACTAAGCAGGGGTGGGCATTACTTATGGCAGGTAGGAGCTACTACACTGGCCAGAGCTTGCACCTTTGTGGTTTAGGTAGAGGTAACATAAGTAATTTTATAGTTTGCTAATGCGTTAAGAAGTAATACAAATAAAATGACTAACTTTCAAGTATATGCAAATACAAGTCTAGCCAAATAATAATAATCTTCATACAGTAAATGAATATATTTCTTTAAAACTTAATGTAATCAGAACTTTAGATAATCCATTCAGGCCACATTGCTTACAAACTGCTTTGTAAATAAATATGTGACTATTTTTTCCAAGAGCATCTTCTGGTAAAATGTTAAGAGTCTCTTCTAATAATAACGTGCTATGGAATGATTTTCTCCTTCTTTAGAGAGATGCTATTGCCACTGTCAGAAATCTAAATCTGTAAGAAAAGTAAGGTTTGTATTAATCCCACATTAAATGATGAAATCACTTTCTTTAAAAGACCTTCTTTCCTGACCTCAGACAGTGTTTATAGTTCCCTTATCTATATTCTAATCTCTGTATTTTAGTAGACCGTGACCTCCCAAGAGGGCAGGGATTAGGACTTCACTTGGCATGATGCGCTGACTTAATAGGAGAGACATGGATGAAAGAAATGCCCTTTCTGCCTCATAGTTCCCACTGTCATTGTTTGCCAGACTGGTGTAGTTTATGGATTTGAAACCAATTAGCATATGGAAAATTGAAAGTCCACGATTCAAATACAGTGAGTATTGTTACTGCCTAAACATAACACCATCAGTTTACACAATTAGCACTTTCTTAGAGCTACCTTCAGTTTTCTAACCAAATTCTCTCCCATCACTTTACACTTTTCTATTTTATTATTGTTTTTTAAAAAAACCTTCTACCCATTGGAGGACCTAAGAGTCACATATTGATGTTTACCGTGGTGTGCTTCACATAAAATAGAAATTCCAAAATCCACTGTGAGAAACAGGAAAAAATAGAGGAAAAACAAAACTCTTCAAAACACACACTACCTTCCACTGCTCTTTTGAAGAATACTTTACAGCTTCCACAGGTCAAGACCCCATAATGACATCCCGAAGCTTCATCAGAGCACACAAGGCAGAGTTTGGGAGGTGGTCCCGTTGCTGTTGAAGAGCTGGATGGAGGAGAGCTTACATCTGGTCTCATTCCAGGGCTAATGGAGGAGGAAAAACAGTGTTATGATTTGTCATGGCTGTTAAAGAAACGTCAGCATACATTTCTTTTAGCTTCTCACTCCATGTCACCAGTTCACACTTAACTGTCTTTAAGTACTAGCCAGCACTAAAATGTCCTATCTAAATAACTGGAATGTTGTATTTTTTGTATAAAATTTAGAATGAGGTCATTTCTTTTAAAGTATCCCCCAAACAGAATGGTGAGGTTGTGGTTCACTTAGCAATTAAAATTTTTAATTGCTTAGGATTTATTTTTATAGTCATTTTCTTTTTGGTGGCACTGATGTTTGAATTTGGGACCTTATGCTTGCTAAGGAGGTGCCCTTACTGCTTGAGCCACTCTGCCAGTCCCTTTACACATAACAACAGTCACCATCTTCTAAGTAAGCCTTGTTAAATGGGTAAGTCATGTAATTACCACCATGATTAAGAGAGGGTATTTTCATCACTCCCAAAAGATACATTCTACTCTTTTACTTAGGCTATCAATCTTTTCTTCCTTAATTTTAAGATCTTGTGTACATATCTTTCTAAAGTCAAACAAGTCTCATTACAGTTCTATCCATGTTCTCTACTAGAGAAAAAAAAATTTTTTGGTCTTAACATCCCTTATCTTCAATGGACCCTAGCTGAAACCACAGTCTCATTCGTGTCTTGGAAAAGATTAATTTCAGAAACATTACTTTTATAACCTTCCTGTCTGGTTTGCAGTAATACTAGAAAAAGCACTATGCTTTCAACACTGAGGACCATCCTGCTCCTTCCTCTCAATGAAAATACCCCCAAGAAAATGGTAAAAAATGTGAATTTGCTATTCTTTCCAGGTCTCATTTTTCATTCTGCAAATTTCTCACCATAATAAGTACAGGTCTAATTACTAACATTTAAATTTTTTCTTGAAAAAACTTTCAAGCTCTCAAACAAGTTGAAAGAAGTACAACGGATGCATACGTTTTACTATAATAACCAGCTTCTAATATTTTGTCACATTTGTTTATAAACATGATTCTTACAAAACAATAAGGATAAGTTAATTGTTGCCTTTCATATTAAATGATAACAATGGTTTCCAATATTATATCTTTCTAAAGAATTTTTATCTCACATGCCAAAGTTAGAACCAAAACTATTATTATGTAGTATATTATTCTCTAAAAGAAATTCCTAGCCTTCTGCTGATATAACTAGAGACTACCTATTCTTTATGTGTTCTCAAGCAGACTTAAAAATATAGACAGTAGCAACCTGTTGATTTCTGAACTGTATATATTAAAATGTGTTATCACTTATACAAAAAAGTTCACAGATGTAGCACTACCTCTCTCTGGAATTTTCTTAATTTGTCTGTTCTCTAAAAGATGGAACCAAGGAATAAGTTTATATTGGATGTGAGTTGTCTCTTCATCATGCTTTACTATTGATTGTGTGCTTATATTTCAGCCAGTATACTAAATCTCAATTGTAAATATACTTAAAATAGAGAAACTGAAGCAATTATTTTAATTATGTTAAGTCAGAAATAGTAACATCTTTTTTTCTGTTTAAGAATGACTAAAAAGTAAAAACTGTAGAGTGATCATTTGTGTTATAAGTGTTATGTGAAGTAATTAAGTCAGTAAACACAAAAGCTCCCCCTAAATTCTGACCTCAAAAGAAGCTTCCTTTTGGGCTGGTGGAAGTGGTAGAGCACTTGCCTACCAGGCATGAGGCCCTGAGTTCTAACCCCAGTACTCAAAAAAAAAAAGCAGCAGCAGCTTCCTGAATCTTGCCAACTGTCTCATGATCTAGGAGGCTTAGAAATAGAACATTTCCACTATCCCAATTCTGGGAATAAGTCTCAGGGTTTCACATTGTTCTCTGCACACTGTCAAGAAGAATTTCTGCATGTTTCCATATCATGATGCATTGATTCCTTGCTAGGTTTGGAAGTAGACTGACTGCATATTGAAAACCTACAATATAAGAGAATAACCTGAAATGACTCTGCTGTAAGTCTGGCAAAGCCAGCCCTGATTAATGGAAACTTATGACTAATGTAGAGTAGCTCCTTTGGAGAAGCAGAGCTTTACAGAGAAGTGCAAAGGTCCTGGAGCAAGCTGAGAGCAGCAATGTGTTGGGAGAGCAAAAAACATCCCTAGCTTGTTCTCAAGATGCTCCTATTCCTGCTCAGCAACCTCTGTCACCTGATGTCTATTTTTAGGAACCTACCAGTTGTTTGTATATTTAGTTTATGGAAAGTGAGCACACTGTTTAAAGATTTGTAAGGTTACTCCTGCAATGTTTCCTTGCCCAGTTTTATGTACTATATACATATTCATATCTTAATATGAAAATATGTATACATTTAAATTTAAAATAGTACTTTGTAGTACTGTATAGTTTTAGAACACTTCCATGAATAGAATCTTATTTATCCTTTTAAGAACACTGTTAAAAGGATATCACCAACCCTAGATGAGGTCAGGCAGGCAGTGGCAGGTGGTTGATCAGGAAGCCTATTTATGGTTAAAGTGACATTTTTCAGACCCTAGCCGTACCACTTAACAGTGTGTATGACCTTTGGTAGGTATCTAGGACTTTGAACCTTAGTTTCCTCATCCGTAAGCTGGGAAGGACATCACCTGTGGGTATTAAGAAAATAAAAAAACATAAAAAGTCTAGTACAAGCCAGGTGCCAGTGGCTCACACCTGTAATCCTAGCTTCTCAGGAAGCAGAGATCAGGAGGATCTGGTGGAGTGGCTCAAAGTGACGGCCCTGAGTTCAAGCCTCAGTACCACTCCCTGCCCCCAAAAAATTCTAGTACATGGTTTTTATATCTAAGCAGGCACTCAATACATATTCATTCTTTTCGCTTCAAGAAAACTTACTGGGTTATGAACAAGCACTATGTAAGTGGAAGGTAAGTATTATGAAGTATAAAATCTAGGATGTTCATTCCTAAATTACCACATATAAATTAGAAGATATACAAAACCTGTTCAGGCCACTCAAGAATGAGCTACAGATGGCAAATCGGAAAGTTAAGTCGAAATGAATAAGTGGATCAAAAGAACAGTAGCTAAGAATTTGGAATCTAAGTCAGGCTCTTGGCATCCCTTCAGGCAGTCATCTGGACTACATCAGATAAGAACTGAGTACATGGAAAGCTCCCAGATGTACCCCAGACATCAATGGAAAAAAATCAGCTTTTGTCACACAAATATGAGGACTATGATGGCCTATAATGAAGACCACTGGAAGAAATGGAATAGTATTCAGTTGCAAATGTTATTTGCTATGATATTGCTAAAAGGGTTGATTTACAACAAAAAGGTCACTGCCATCTTTTAATAAGAAGTCGTAACAGAAAATAAAGGTACACCATGGTAAATAGTGAAATATCTTGGTCTTAAAGGCATCAATATCTGTAATAGTTATTGATTATTCATTGTGTGTTTACAGGTCTGCCAAATATTCTGAAGATGCTGAGAGGTCCCATCTTAAGTAAAGAGCCACAGAAACAAAATTCCTTATTCCAGGTATGAGGTTATTGAGTTTATGTTAAAGTTAAGAGAGAGGGGAAAAATAGCTAGTTTTTTTTTTTTCTATTTAATTTTCTTTCAAGAAAAGTAACCGATGAGTGGAGGATCATGGATAGATTATGAAAGTTAACTACACACCTTAAGAAGCCCGTAAAATGTGCAGGTAAATTACACCTACTCATTCAGCAGACACTTTCTGGCACCTGAATGCCAGGCAAGACAAGGATACAGACAATATACTATGCATGAAATGCATTACAGAAATGATAATGAACCTTACAATTTTTATCTGGGAAGGAGTGGCAGAATTATTTTTCAGCTGCCCTCCTACAAGGAGGGCACATTCAGCTTTATACACAGACAATCCTGGCTTCAAATACTAGCTCCAGTGCTCTGATAGCTAGGTAATAGAGGCAAACTGAGTTAACCACTTTGAGCCTGCACCATTATTAGTACCATTTTAGGAGAGGGGGTTGTGTATTTTTTTTTTTTTACAATATTAGAGTTATATAAAACCCTGGTATATACTTAGTGGTTGTCAAACAATAGGTCTCTTTCCTGCCCCTAGGGATTATCTATTTTTATTCCCCTCAACTTCTTCTTCCCATTGGAGGACCCCAAGGAAAGAGAAGTGCTATACAACTTGCTTCAGAGCCCAGGGAAGATTAATGGTCACCTAGAATCTTAAGTTCAGGTAATTATAAATAAGCTTTTTTTTTTGATACTAAACCAATATTAGCAATTTTAATGTTTTAAAGGTTAATGTCTCAATGTGGAATCTGAAAACAATCTAACTTTTGGTAATGCAACTATTAAAGTCCACTGGACTATCCTGCACTTTGAATAATTTTACAATACAGGTTGAGTATCCCTTATCCAAAATGCTTGGGACCAGAAGTCTTCCAGACTTTATGGAGTTTTGGAATTTTGGGACATCTCTAACCAAAAGATCAGAAGTGCTTTGAAATCTGAAACTTTTAAGTGCCATCTCAGCACTCAAAAAACTTTGGATTTTGAAGTATTCATATTTCAGGTGTTTGGGGTCAAGGATTCAATATGTATCAGACAATAGTAATTTGGAAAACAGTGGTTTACTGAATTGTGCAGTTTCCCAGATATCTACACGGTTCATGGTGAATATACAAGTCACATTTTTTCAACTCACATTGGCAGGTAAATCTTTAAAAATTCTAATTTTTGTTTGAAACCCGTACTTTATCAGTTGGCAACAAATACTGTCTGTTGCTTTCTTTAAAGTACTAAGATCATTTCAGTCATTTTTGAGAAAATATCTACCAAATATCCAAGGCTGAAAAATCATAATTTATCTCTCATGGTATTCTACAGAAGAGGTTTATTCAAGTACAACTTAAAAATCTTTCCTACACATGCTTTTCTTTGAGATAATCATTGAATGCTATATGAAGCGTGTTTTATGCATCTTTCCATTTTGTTA